AAAAAAGTCATAATTGCTATGACAAACCTCGAGGGGAAAAAAGTCCATGGCAACACGTGGAAAGACATTGATGAGACGTACCTGGATGCCTACATTGGTGTTCTTCTCCTTGCTGGAGTTTACAGATCCAGCAATGAGGCAACTGAGAGTCTCTGGGATGCATCAATGGGCAGAAATATTTTCCGAGCAACAATGTCTCTACGGACCTTTCAGATGATCTCAAGAGTCCTCAGATTTGACAATCGAGACACCAGAGCAAAATATGACAAGCTTGCATCAGTGATGTTTAGGAGAGATGGGTGCAACTCCTTCCACTGATGTTCAACCCAAAGTACCATTGTGTGGAAAAAAACAGACTTGTTTTTGCCCTTGTTTTTAAAGACTTGTTTTTTCCCTTTTCTTGAAGAAAATATATACGGGTCCAAAATGACCCGAAACACCTTAGATGTTACTATATTTGATAATATTAAAATTAAAATCTTTTTTTGTTGAACATTTAAGAATTTTGTTTTAATATCTCTCAGTTACACTCGGGTAACAGAACAACTGATTATTTTGTTGCCTTCTTCTCTTAAGGTTCATTTGACCACTTTTTAGACATTGAAAACGAGGGGTATGCTGTTAAAACAAAGGCCCAGAGGGCCACAAAAAAATATTAAAACCAATCTTTTCATGGATAAGGAAGCCCAACCAGCTAAACAAGAGTTAAGAAAAACATTGGATGATAAAAGATTGTTTTTAGGGTATTTTATGCCTGATTTAATACATGGGTCCAAAATGACCCGCTAACACCACAGATGGCAGCAGAAAGCTAATACCAGAGGAAGGTTACTACAGGGTACGTATTGCATCACAAGAACAAAGAAGCATTAGTGAGGCTTCAGTCCTACAGGACTCAGTAAAGACACAGAACTTACCTTTCTTTAAACTTCCTTTCTACTGATTTTAGATTTCATCATATCTTCTGATATATGTACCGACAATTAGATCTTCTCCCGTTCAGAGGAAACCACTTTCCTCTGAGCATGTCTTGCATGTCCTGGAGTGCGAGTGAAAAGGGAGGCGCTGGGTGACAACAGACACAAGTAACTAATAAGTCACATTATTGCTTGGATTTCACAACGTCACGTTAAGTCCCTGAACTTCACATTTTAATGGGAAAAAAAGCCCATTGCAACTTGAATGTGACGAGTAACGCGATGGTTTTGTAGAAATGTAGAGAAGTAGGAAGTACAGATACTTAATGTAAAATGGTGTAAAAGTCGAAAGCATACATTATAAAATATACTTTAGTAAAGCACAGACACACGGAAATTGTACTTAAGTACAGTAACAAAGTACATGTACTTTGTTATTTTCCACCACTGTTTGTATACTTAGGGTTACTGTCTGTATGGATGACCAATCTGTGCCCAAGCTTTTATTTCCTGGCTAATGTCTTCAAATGTTGCTTCAATATTTTAACATAAGATTTTTTTCCTCATGTTGGCATCTAATTTATGAAGTGTACTAGTTCATGATGCTGCCACTCCCACACTTCATAGTTTAATGGTGGAAACAGCTCTCTTTTTCGTCCAAATGTAGCAATGGTCATCATACCCAAATAGTTATACTTTATTTTCATCAGACCACAAATAATAATCACAGTGAGGGTTTTTGAAAACTTTAAATCATTCTTGACTCAGCGTTTAGTACCTGCTGGTACATAAAACTCCAGAGTTGAGGGAGAACCCCTCCTTACATTATGAAAAGGGAAGAATGCTGTGTATTCTGGGATTCAGAGTTTCTACAACTCTTTTCTCTGTGGGTAGTTCCGCTCTTCTTCTCTTTGTGGCTCTGGTGGGTCCTCAACATTAACAATTCAACATGTCTGTTCCTTTATATTTTTAGTCCTGAGCAGTAAGCAATCTTCAATTTTGGCATTAAGGCATTTTCTAAAGTCCTGATTCATTGCAGTGTTACGACACATTCATATTCCAGTAAAGAGCATCAAAACAGTCACCATGAGCAGGATGTGACTAAGTGAGCTTCGCAGAGCTGCCAATAACATTTATTTATGTTGGTGTGTGCATGCTTCTACCGCTGCATGTCTGCTGTTTCCCAGCATGGCTGCGTGTGGTAATTAAGCAGGAATGTAGCAGCAGCATCTGTGGCTTTGCACTTCTGTCTTGTCCGTAGCTCTCAGACACTCCGATCACATAAGCCGTGAAAACCAGGGAGATAATACCTAATCGGGCTCTGGCCATTAGCATCTGGTTGGTGGTGAGAGGAAAAATTAACATGGGGAGAAACTGTTATTACAAAAACCGCTAAGAGGGCAGCACTGTGGGAGTACTCTTAGCGGCTTTCCTGGAGTTTATTTCAAGCTTGAGAACGAGTTTGTCCAACCATGAGGAACCGCATAAACAAAGGCGCACAGAGCTGCAGAGATGGAAGCCAAAACCATTTTTCTTTTCAAATTATTCTCATGGGTGATCAGTTTAAATATACAGAGTCACCGATCAGCTTTCTGGAACCTGATTGGTCAATGAGTGTTGGCCCTTTTCTCATCTGTCTCTCATTTTCCAAACCACCTCTTCCACACAATCTCCGTCTTTTGCGTCTCTTTCCAAAACGTTGTGGATGTGAAGTATCTTCTGCTGGGTCACATGGATCACGCTGTTCTAATGATATTTGGATGACTCTCATTAGACCAGTGCTTCTCAATTCCAGTCCTCAGGTTTGAGTGAAGTGGCCATTAGGAAGATCTGAAATTACTGGTACACATTGGGCTGTTCTGCTTTCTCCAGCTTTTGTTTCTTTCTCTGTGTATCATATCAGACAGTCCCTCCTCTCATCGAGCCACAGCTGCAGTCTTATCTGCAGATAAGACAAAACATCAAAAGAAAAGCAAATGTAGTGTGGTTCCCACACAAGGAATGTTAATGTGTTGATATGTTAGTGGACCAACATTCAAGACCAGCTAATCCTAAATGAACTGATTCACAATTTTTTCCAGAAGAGTTTTGGACAAGAAAAACTATCTACAAGCTGAAAAGAAACATTCTCAAACAAATGGTTCACGACTACAAAAAAGGCTTAAGGGTATGATGCAAAATTGTCTTTGTTGAGCCGTATATTACCTGGAGTGTTGCTTTGATTCTGTCATGCATTCTTGAAGAATCCTTGAATCTCCCATGGCAACCATTCGGGGGTGCCTAAACGCTTGCTCTTACAAAGCTGCACCTTGGAGTTTCAATCCAGCAGCAATTGTCAAGCACTTGGTGGAATTGCATGTCTACTGAGTTCAAAGAACAGTTGTAGACGGAATCAATGGACATGGAGAAGCATTGTTGTGATGACAGGCTGAAGGGGGAGCTCCAGGAAAAGTAGGAGTTTCTTAAAGAGACAGAGGTCAATTTCAAGGCCTCAGATACACAATGATGTAAAGTCAATTTTCTTTTAAGTCGTTTTTGATATATACAGCATTTCATAACAATTGAAGGTAACATGGTTACTTGATTGTGCAATAAAATCGCACTATGTGCCTGAGAAATGCGTAATACCACAGCTTTAGTGTGGTTCACACTAAGTCGTGAACCACATTTCTTTTACAGTGTGTCAGCTTTTGGTCATGTATTGTGAAACATGAACCTGTGGTAACATGAAGAGTTTTTTAATGGAGAATAGCCTACCAGGTCGCATTTTACTTTGTGGTGTGTTGTAGTACCATCTAGTGGCACAAACTCACAAGAACACAACACATTGTGTCCTGAGTCAGCAGTGAAAACAACCAAAACCAAAGCAAAACTAAAAAAAAACAGCAAGTTAGAAAGTACATCTCTTGTTGTATTGTTATCTGTTCAACAAAAAACTAAGCATGCAGTATTTTACTGAATCTTAGCAAGTTGTCTGATTTTTGTAAAAAATGTTATATAACTAGCCAGCTTTGGCTCTTCAACCATCACCTATTAATAATTTGTGTTTTTTAAAAAATGTAAAACTATTGCTGCATAATATGCAGGTTGTGGGATCCGTTCAGTTCATTCATGGAACAATTGCATTGAAGTCGACAACATGTAACCAAAAGTACCAGAAACCTTTTGGATTAACTTTTTTTGCAGGAGAGAAAAAAAATCCTCTCCTGCAAAAAAGATGAGCTTTTCTTAATGTTTAAGCCTAAAAATAGAAATATTTACTTTATATTCTATTTATCAAGTTATATATACCAATATACATATATATCGGGTTGTAACTGTTGCAGACACCCACTCTGCAACAGGTGTACATTCTGTTAAAACAGATGGACAAATTTCCACATTTTATACTTTCACCAGGATGTTTAAGAGCCAAATAAATGCAGTAAAGTGATACTTAATGATGCTGAAGGTTATGTTCCAAAAACTCTGACAGGTCATGTTTAATGAGGTGGCCCCTCCAAAATAAATTAGTAAATGATAATTTATACATCTAGTGCAGGGGTCTCAAACTCCAGTCTTTATTTGTGCCACAGGTACAAAATGCTGGAATGAAATGGCTTAATTTACCTCCTCTATGTGTAGATCAATCTCCAGAGCCTTGCTAATGACCTAATTATTCTATTCAGGTGTGGTGCAGCAGAGGCTCATCTTAAAGTTGCAGGACAGCGGCCCTCGAGGACTGGAGTTTGAGGCCCCTGAGCTAGTGACATCTTGTCGACCTCTGCTGGTCAAAATATACAACTGCAGTGGGTTTTAGCTCAAGTCTGATGATAACCATGATAACCGTAACCATGATGCTTATGGTTTTTACTTGTTCAGATGGATTTCCTTACTGCATATTAAAATATTCATAAATTTAAATAACAGAATAAAAATACAAATAAAAAAACATGACATTCTGGGCTCTAAGTAGATTGTTGAAAGAATTTATGAATCTCAACAAGCCCCAAAACTAACTCAGGGACTCCATGTGGTAGACCAAACTGTTCTAGAATTCAAATATTATTTTCAAAGATTTTTTTTATGAGGGAAAGTGAATTGTGCATTTATTTAGACATCTCTACCAGTTTTGCATTTCCAAAAATAAAAAAGAAGAAACAAAAAAAGTCAAACAGATCCAGCTTGGGTTTGCATCATTATGTACAGCTGTTTTATTTGTGATCCCCCCCCCCAAAAAAACATTATTAATATTTTACTACATACAATAATGGTAATCAAAAGAATTTGCTTATAAATGAAGGGAGCAAAAGGAGCAACACCAAAATAAATAAAAGTAGAAACAAAAAACAAAGAAAAAAAAAAAAAAAACAACAGACAGACAGGCGGTGATTTGACCAAAAATAGACACTGGTTAAGGTACTTCTTGTGCAACACTATTTTGTTTCTATACGGCTATTGATAAGATCATTAACAGCATCGCCATGGCAGCAGTGGGTTCTGATTTTAGCTAGAAGCGCTACGGTCTGGTGACTTCTACTGCATGGTGGTGTGTGCAAGTGCAGCGGATAAAGATACTCATCTTGGGACTCTTCATTAAATAAACTGACTTAAAACATTTGCTTCTCGCACACAAAATTATTAGGACATGTCTGTTTACAGGACATTCGTACAAACAAGCTTAAATTAAGTCAAATCACATAAAAACTCTGAATTTTATTACACTTTGCCACATCAGAACAAGTCGTATTCTTTTTTTAGGTTATCTGACTGAAGATTAGTCGGATGTATCCTCATAAGGGGAATAAATAAAAGAGAATCCCAGCCATCATAAACCAAGACTGAGCACATCCCTGTGATGGGAATGTGCCTCCATGAGAGCTACTTTTGGCTTGTTACAAACTAACATACATGTGGATATGAAGAGAGAGAGAAAGAGAGAAAAAGACGATACAGAACGTTTTGAATTCTGGTTGAAAACCCCTGATATAGTCCCAAAATAAGGCTGTGGGTTTAGGCACACCAAGGTAAAACTGAGCTGAGCACAATGTGCAGTTCTGTGTTTCCTTTGAAAAAGACATTAAGCTTTTTGAAATGTACATGATTTACAATTCAATTTACGTTAAATCACTTGTCCAAACCAAGTATTATATAGATTTGCTAATAATAATAAAAAAAAAACAGCAAGAAAAAGAGATACATAAGCTGATTAATCACTTCTCAGACTTCATTTGTTTTGCAGAACATTTTACTAGAAAAAAAACACGAGTGCATCATTGGCAAAAAACTGCTGGTGAGAGAACGAGAAGTGCACACGTGTGTTTGTCTGAATGAGTGTGTGTTCACTGTCTGCTTCAGTCAGTATTGAAGTGCAGGTGTTAATGTGTGTGAACAAGCAAGCGCATATTTAGAGGTAGCAGAGAAATGGAGTCAGAGCAGACGGTAACAATCAGCTAACAGGAAGGAAACAGAGACTTTGTATGCAGCTGCTCTTCTCAAGGTCAAACAAGTTTTAGTTCAAACACTTTCAATCAAAAAGGTTGAAAAATGTGAGATCCACTTGAAGCTACAGCACAATGAAAAAAGGACATACCCCTTAAAGATGTCTTCTTTTTGGCACACTTAAATGTTTTGGTCGTAAGTTTTGGAATGCAATCCATCAGATGATCAAATCAAAGCAGTTATTTTGTTAATGTTAAAATATGTTCAATATTATTTAATCTTATGAAGGAGTCATCAAATGCAGAGACTGCTAATTATTAATATTTTAATGACATTCACAATTTTGATGACATCACTGTTTTACCTGAACAGATTGCTACATCAGACAAAGATGATCTGAGGAAATATGAAAGGTAGTGCTCAAACTATGACTTATTAAGAGTGAAAACTTATCCGAAGGACCTAGACCTTGAATGAAGAACCATTTAGCAAATATTTATCTTGCTGAATGAATCACCTGATTAACGCCAAAAACTAGGCTGAGGGTTTGTACATTTTCCCAAAATTCAAGCACTTTTCAAGCATTATCAAGGTAAACTTCCAAACTTTGTCAGCGCCAAACACTGAAGATAAAAATAATACAAATGAACTAAAGAAGTCAGTTTCAATGAGTAGTAAGCTAAAATGCAACACAATTTTATGTTTTGAAATGTCTCTTTCACACACCCAACACACCTGACTGATATGAAAACAAAACAATAATTCAACAGTTTCAATAAAGTTGTTACACAGATCAAAACTGTGCAGAAGCACTTTTAAGGACTTTGTACAAAAATGAAGTACTTTCCAAATGTTGAAAACACCTAATTGAAATTCAAGCATTTTCAAGGATTTGAAGCACCCATACAAACCATGTAGTTTGGATTTATTACCAGCACCCAACTCTGATTAGCTATCAGATCAAAAACTCACTCAAGTCGTACCTGTCTGACAACATAAAGTAGGCTGAATGATGTCAAATAGCAATAAATCGTGACGCAAGGGAAACTCAGGGTCATTGACGTCCGTCTGTCTGGGAATATTTACAAACCCATTTCTAAAGTTTTGGGATTTCAGGAACCACACTGAATCACTGTAGACAAACGGTGAAAACATGGAAGAGTGGTGAAGCTTCCCAGGAACCAACAGAATTACTCATCAACAACTCACCCACAAGGTCACAAAACTACCAGAGCAACACCTGAAGGGCTTACCGACCTCAGTCAAGGTCAGTGTTCATGATTCAACAGCAAGACAGAAACTAGGCAAAGATGACCACCTGAGGGGCATTTCAACTCCAAACCACCAATTATCAAAAGGAACATATTAGTCCTACATTAGCCAAGAATTCCAAGACTTTTAGAAAAATATCCCTAGATCTGAAAAACAGTAAAACTTTAGGAAAATGTGGGCACAAATCTATGAAACCGAATCTGAGAATAACAGCTCAGAGCACAATGCTTTGCTTCCTCAGGAACAGGATGGATTCAGCTGAAACAGGATGTCCAATTCATGTTTTTTAAGTTTAAGCACATCTTGAAATTATACAGCAGGACAACACCAGAAAGTACACCCCAAAATGGAGAACTTGGAGTGGCCTAGTCAAAGTCTGAAAATGATGACTTTAAACATTTAGGTGAGGCAAAACAAGCAAAAACCAAGGAAATCTGGAAGGGTTGGATCCTTTTTCACAGTGCAGTTTGAGGTGCTAAATTTTGACTTAAGTGAAGCTGGCAATATATCTCATTCACAAAAAGAAAAAAAAAAAACTCTTCCAGGAACAAAGTGGCCTGGTTGTCTTCAAATGGACTCACAGCACCAACTAAATCAGCCAATCAGAATCAGTTAGAGGTGAGCGACAGAAGGCAGAGTACCGAGCGTGATAGGCTGCACTATAAATGTGAAAGTGTGTGTGTGTATGTATTTGTGTGTGTCTGGCTGCAAAAACAAAGCAAAAAAAAAGCTACTTTTGGTGATGAACAACTAAATCAGGATCCCAATGTTACAAAAACTCAACCAGCCGGCTGAGCGACATGAACGAGAGAAAAGTCTACAGCTCTCCTTGTCTTACACTAATAAACGTCAAATTGTTTCAGCTCAACGTTTCAGCTGAGCTAAAAGTTTTGGCACTAGCTGCACAAAGGTGGTTTTCATCCAACGGCAATGCAGCTGTTAGTTTCGTAGCTTTTGAAGAATATCATCTACTATTTAGTCTTTTATGGTTGTATATGTAACCTACTTTATCAACAGACCTCACCTTATTTAGTGGCACCCCTGGCAGACGTTCAAAGCCTGTGGTCTGCTTTTTTTTGCAGCTGAAGAACTCCTCTGAATTTCTGTATTGGTAAACTTTTTAATCGGAAAAATTCATTTGTTCAATAAAAAATTATTTTATTGGACAAAATCACAGGTGGAAACGTTAATACTTAGCTTTTTTTAAAGATGTGAGTTCATGTCTTTCTTTTTCCCTGGGGCATCAATATGCATAAATATGTTTTTCTGTGATTAGTATTCCTTATTTTTTTTCTAATGTGGGACTTTTAAATGACTTGTTTGAACTTCCCTCCTTCTTCAGTGTGAGATAATGCTTCTGCATTAAACAAAACCCTCCTGCAGTCTTAAGAGATGGAGTCAACTGGACCCCAGAAGCTTTTCGCTGTGCGCAGAACCCCCAAGCGACATAAGTGCTTTGATTGTTGTTGTGGTTTCTAGAACTGACGATCTGATGGGATAATTGCTCCTGCCTCCTCACGGTCACATGTGCCGCCTCAATGAGCATTGCAATAAAAACGCGGGAGGGTTAAAAGACAAGCTTATCTTAGCTCATTTTACCCTTGTTTACCAGGGGTGCTAATAAGTGCAGCTGCATATTATCAAAAATAACACTTCATAAAGAGCTCAACAGAAATTAAAGCATTTTACACATGGCACAAGTATTTTTCTCAGGCATTTCTAAGTGTTCTGTGAGAGAACACTACAGGGTTTTGCTCTGAACTGATGCTACAATGGCAATCAACGGTTGTTTAAAAGCAGGTGCAGTAAGATACAGAGAGCTGTTTCTATAGGTCCAATTACCTACAAGAGTTTTGCTTTTCAGTCAAAATAGATCTTGTCACACATGGGGATCAGACAATTACCTGCGCTTTAAATTGCTATGTGAACGAAGCTTTAGTTACCAGGCAGGGAGTTTAAACATGCACTTCAGTCAGTGAGAAAGTGCAAGAACGACCCCCTTTTAATGACATTAAAACTGGAGTAATGAACATGCAAGGACCTGCGAATGTTGAATCTGCTCTGTAAGCTAATTTACCATGCAAAAAAATAAAAACAAAATTAATACAGTGTTTACTGTCTAAGACTTCTAATGGAATGATGCAACTCTGATGTTTTTCAATTTTTTAAACTTTTAAATGCACAATAAATAAATCTGTAAGTGTCAGGTGTTGCATATCTATACCAATATATAACGATTTTAATTGCAATAAAAATTATGAGTTATAGTACGAATGAAAGCAGTGAAATTGTCTGGCTGTACATCCATATATCTATATTGTAATTCATCTATCAGCCAGAAGGGGGAGTTAAAGTTACACACTGCAGATTTAAGATTCGTACCAATTTCAGGTATAAAAAAAAAAAAAAAATGAAAAGAAAAATAATCCAGCATCGAAAAAGAAAAAAACTCTACTGTAAATATACAAACATAAAAACCTCTAGATTATTGTTCAAATAAAAACTTGTTTTCTATATTACACAATCATGCTGCAACTCCCCCAAAAATATATATTTATATGTGCAGACAGGAGAGGTAATATTTTTGGTTAAACGCGGTGCCGAAGCTCAGCAGAACACGGACAGAGACAAACAAAGAAGAGAAGGGAAAGCAGAGAGTTAACATTTAGAAACATTGGGATCCACTTGAATACTGACTAGCAAATTCTACCGGATGTCCCTTGTTATGCAATAAGTGCTTTAGAGTTTGCAGTCGACTTGAGGTTGAAAACACAGAAGGTTTCTGAGGAGAGAGTCGTGATGTGTTTGCGTGTGTGTGGTAGAAGTTTATGTTTGGTTCCCTTTAAAGGCTATTGTGAAAAGTCTATACTGTAAATCACTGAGGCAATCTGTTAAATGTTTCCAGCTTAGTGAGGTCTTTGTAAATAAGGCTACTGAGGTGGAGCTGCTGACCTGGTTCGAGAGGGACGAGGGCTTCAGGAGGGGAGAGACTTCAATGAATTTGGGGGCACTAACAAATCAGATCTACAAATATGCTATAAAATGGTGTGAAAACTGCAAGAAGATTTTTGTCCAAGGAGTGTAGACATCTAAATTTGATCCAGATATAACTGATGCGTCACACTGTACCCCTAAAACTGCAGATTCTCCCCCCTGTTGCCCTGTCCTGCATTCTGTGATGTAGATGCTGAATGTAAAAAGTCTTTATACGACTATCGTTACCAAACAAACCACAATTTGTTAAAAAAAATCAGAACCTTGAGTCACGGAGTACAAAGCATGACAATGTCCCAACTCGACATCTGAGGCGACGTCTGTCCATCGGTCAGTCTCTTAAGTGCTCTGCTTGTACGGCAAGTTTCTACGTTTTCGTAGTTTAAAAACACTTGATCTCGTATGACCTTTGTACAAATTCTACACAGTCTTGTTGAGGTCCAAACTGACGGCGCTCTTTCAAATCCTAGGACCTCCATTCTTGAGTGTGTCATGGATTTCCAGAGCAGAACTTGGTTGGCTGCTAACTTAAAGCTATGCAGAGAAAAGTTGTTGTAACTGGCTGTTGAAGACGATGACAAAACAGACAAAGAGATGGAAACATGGCTGGTTGATGAACAAAGAGGCTGGTTCATCAACCAGCCAAAAGGTAACAAAGAGGCACGCCGTAGCTAGTAGTCAGATACGTCTCGTACCCAACCAGTTGAGGCAGTGTTATTGATGATCACTTGGCGGTCTGAGAAATTAGAAATGATGCATATGTGGACTGCAGTTCTTACAGATGATGACATGAATGAGCAAACGTTTTTGCTTTTCCTTGTCGAGTTAAAATACTTGGGATAGGCTCCATAGATCCACACACACTGATCATCCCGGCTTCATTCAACAGCGCTCCCGAGCAGAAAGCCAAGCGCAAGCATTGCAGCAGGATGCAAATCAACAATCTTGACAAAGAGAAGAAATAAGATAATTACCCAAATGAAAGTACTATGTATATATATCATCGAAAGCTTATTTGATTGAACAAGAGAGGAAAGACCTACATCCAGAATTCTTGGAATGGACAAAAAGTTGCCTAATATTGAGAACTTACTGAGTCGCTTTGCGTGATTATAGTATTATGGGAATATTCAATTCATTTTAAATTAAGATCATTTTTTATTTCCATCCCTTTATTAAAGGATTACATCAAAAGCTCATATTTGGCGTTAGATGGAAGCTGATCCTAGCCCTCCAGCATATTCATGATACAATATTATATGTGACATAAACGACTCATTAAGTCAGTCATATTAAACAGCTCTGTTCACTCAAAGTTGAATACACAGTAAGAGTTTCTCTAATTGCATATAGCCTAGTATCTCCAAAGCACCTTCCCGTCAACGACTTACTCCTCTTAGTAATTTACCTACATCAGATTCTATGTACAGTCTAAGAAAGTGGTATTTACAAAGTTTGTTTTTTTTCCACAAGGGGGTGATTCAGGCCTGCATGAGGTGTGAGCATGCGCCATATCAACAGAAACAATATGATATGTAGTGATAAAAACTACCTTTGCTTATGCAGCTGGTATTGAAATGACATAAATGTGACAACACAAAGGTAGGAGGCTGAACTTATTTCCATCCATTTAAAAGTCCTTTTCATGTTTGTGTCTCTGCCCTTTGTGATTACAGTCTGCTACTCCTCTAGAGCCGTGGTTCTCAAATGTTCATGCAAGTACCGGTGCTAGCACCTCGGCTAGCTTTAGCAAAACTAACAATTTTTAGTAGTATTTATGAAACAAAATGTCTAATGTTTGCTTATGCACATGTAACACATGATCCCAAAAATCAATTGGAGGGCACTTTGTCACCATCTACAAGGGTGGGCTTTTATCATATCGTTTATCATTAATTGTGATAAACTTCTTATAAGATTTCCATTTAATGTTGTCTTGACAAATTCAAATTAGTAATGTTTAATAACCTCTAAAACTGTCCCTATTGTCAGGATTAGTATTTTCACAAATTTTCTTCAGTTTGTTCATTGAGAATATAGATAAATATCAGTAAATCTGGAAATCTGATTAAATGAAGTTATCAAGAACAATATTTGTGGCGCTGTGATTGCTGCATCATTCACTCACAACCATAATTTGAATTTTGAGAGAACGCAGACTTTCCACATTTTGAATTCTAACATCAGGTGAACCTTTTCTTCATTTTTCAGTCTTATTGCAGAATATTTACAGTTATAAAATGTTTAAGAACCACTGCTCTAGAATGTTTGCCTTATCCTTAAAAACATTCAATTTACGGTTTCTACTAATTTATTCAGAATGATTGTGTATCTAAAAATGTATTACATATATTCTCTTAAAGACAATCTGACCATGTGAAATAATTTCATAAATTTTTGTTTCTCAAATAGAGAATTTTGTTAGTTTTTTTCTTCCAGAAACATTAATCTGTTAGCTTCCTTTTGCTGTTATTCAGTATGATTACAAATCACAGTGATGCCTTGAGCTTCAAAAACTCTCGAAATCTCCCTCTCATGATTGTAAGCTTACGCCAAACACATACATGCACGCTGTAAAAACCCGAATACACATTATCATCAGACAAACTTTCCCTGAGGCAACAGCTGGCAGCTGGTTTCTGTCCAACTATCTAAGCTCTGTCTTAGCAGCAATCCAACCAGCCCAATGACTAGATTTTTTTTTTGTTTGTTTTTTTTTTCTTTGTTTTCTGAAAAAATACCCATCCACAAAACAGGAAATTATCTTTGTGTATGTCAGCCTACAAACTTCACAGGTCCAAAAAAAAAAAAAAAATAGAAGAGCACAACAAAGAGCATTTGTTGTGGTTCAGTCAGAGCCTGTGCACACACCCCCTTGTGGTCCATCAATACTCTTGCACGCGGTACACATTTAGCAAAAATAGAGCGACTCCTCATAGCACGTCAGTGCATGTGTGTACATGTTGCATATACACGTATCTGAGGAGAGGCCTTAACATCCTCTTTATTATTACTTTTATAATTAAGCACCCTCAGAAGTATTTCTGTCTATATACAGTACAAGTCAAATATTAGCTAATGTTTGACTTCTATATCTTATGTTTATCATATTTAACTATGTAGAATTATACATACATTCTTCTTTTTTTTACAAATGTAAAACCCCCTTCCATCTGATTACCCAGTATCCTCTTGTTTTTTTTCTTCAAAAAGTGCACCATCATTCTCAAACTAAAAAAATTCTGCAGAAAGATTTGTCTTCATATGTTTTGAATATTTAAGATTTCTTCTTTCACATAACACATAATTTATAGATCGCTCAACTACCATTGTGACCCAAAAGTGTTTCTACTTCGTGTCAGCTCGCTCAATATTTTTTGGATGATTTTGTTAGAATTTGTAAGCCAACAAAATTTCATAGTTATTTACATAAGAGTCCATCGCTGAGAGATGAGTAAGAGATGCAAATCTGAGTGCTGTTGTTGCCATGTGAACATGTGGGAAAGTTATGATGATGATGATGATGATGATGATGATGATGATGATGATGAGAATGATGGTGAGAGGAAAATGACATCTATCAAGCTGTCTTCACTTTCAGAAAGTGTTACAAGGAGTAGATTCCAGTGATGGAAAACATTTGGATTCCACAGTTGTGGAAAGGATGAAAACGAGCAAGTGGGGGAAAGATAACAAAACAAAACGAAAACAAAGTTTGAGATTCTGGTGATCCAGCAGCAGACTTCTATTCTATAAATCCAGATATCCAGTTATGGCTGATGTTTGGTTTTTGCAAGCCAGGAGTAACGAAAGAGATGTAGACAGAGGGGAAGATGTGATTATCCACCTGCCTCCTGAGCGTCCGGAGAGTCAGAGTGTGGGGGTTGTGAAAACCTTTGTTTTGAATTGAGGAGAAAGCAGCAGACTTTGCTAATCATCCTGTGCTTAATGAGTCTGTGTAGAAGGGGGAAAAAAAAGAAAAAAAAAAGGATTCCTTCTTCTCCTCCTCCTCAGCTATGACACCTCGCTCCCGAACACCTCCAGCACCAGCGGGGTGAGCTGCATGCTGTGCTCGGGCTGGAAAGATAGCGAGCGGTACTGCTTGGAGTGCTCCTCATTCAGGCTGCGCAGGTCGGCCAGCTTCTGGATCATCTTGGCGTAGAGGAGGCGTCCGCCCGGGTGGTTGACCCGGATGTAGGCCTGCAAGGTCTCCGACATACGGTCCTGCAGCTGCTCTATGCGGGCGTGGTCCTGAACGCCGGGCCGGTCTGTAATGGAGAACCAGAGGGGGTCTCATTTTGTCATCTTCCATTCACAAAGATCAATTTAGGTTCTACAGATTTTATGTTATAGACGAACAACACATAGTGGATGAAAGAGTATTAGGGTCAGACTCTGAGTTTTTTTTTCTAAATTGTGACAAAAAAGTTAATATTACCAGGAGAAAGTTTTAAAAAGTAATTGCAATAAAAGCAAAGCTTTGATTGAGTGATGAAAAGCTGACCAGATCAGCTGATCTACTCCATGAAGCTTTCTTAGAAACAGATGTTTGCACAATCATTTCAAAGGCCTTGATACTGATGTGTTAAAATATTAACATATCAGATACCAAAGCATAACTTCACAAGATGCTCAACTTTCCTCATTTAAATGTATTATTTTTTGTGTTGGAATTATAATAAAATTTCAACTTCATTCTTCTAATATTGCAAAGACATTCGGGTAAAATTATGGGTTTAGTCTTGTGTTATTTCAACTTCATTGTAATATAACGTCTTCTTATATTGTTATGACTAAATTTTTATAAAATGATGACATGTGGTCATACAACCTCTTGTAGTATCATAACTATTCTGTTGATACAGTGACTTTATTTTCTAAAAATTTTTTTTGTAATGTTATAGCTTTATTCTGGTAATATTGTAACTGCATTATTGTGCTATTATGACTTTATCCTTGCATAATTTCAACTTGCTGTCGTATGACTTTAGACTAATAATACTGACTTTTCATAAAAAAAATTTCTTGTATTATTATGACTTTACTCTCATATTATTATTACTATTTTTATGATTATGATTATAAGATTTGACAGTGAGGGACTGACCTTTCAGAAGGACAACCCTGAACAGGTAACATAGAGCTAACATAGATTGGCCACTCCAGACGTAAATTCAATGAGAAACCTGTCTGGACATGAAAGTTGATATTCACTGATGCTAAAATGAAGTAAAATGTGTCTAAATGAGGACATCATGTCAACAAAGTGGTTCTACAAACTCTTCATTTAGGGGTTCTGACTTCAAACACATGCCATGTTAGATTTTCACCATGCACTTACACAGTGATATGTCACATAAAATTCCGTTCAAGTACTCTGAAGGTTTGGATTGTAATGCAAAATCCCATTTTTGTAAGCCCCTGCAGCAAAGGATGAGAGTAGCAGGGATTCACTGCAGCTCCTCCTTCACCTGTTCTGTTATCGGCCTGTAGAGCAGACTCGCCCTCCAGGATCAACCAAAGCACAACAGTCAGGTTTTACCTCTGTTTTTGATGCTAAATCAGGGATAAAGATGACCAACATCAGCTATTGCCATATTATCACATGCTGAACAGATACAGTTATTTTCCAGGAAATTATTCTCAGCTGCAACTGGAAGCATCATGTAGTATCCATTTTTTGGGCAAATGTAGGTCAAACAGCAAAGCTGACACCAAACCAAATCCTGAGACGTGCTGTGGCAACATGTCAGCTTTTGGTAAACCTCGTGACAACCCAGCCCCCCCAATCATCCTGCTGAATAAAAAGGCTTCATCTAAAACGGTAGCAGCACCTGGAGACAGCAGGCAGATGGCCATGAGCAGCACATGCTCTTCTTCGTGCAGATTGAGCTTCTTCAGACCAACTTGGAACCTCACCAGCGGCTCCAGCAGCTCCAGGGTGTGGCCGGCTGCAGACAAAAAAAAAAAAAAAAATCACAGTTATCGCTGTAGAAATCAGTTGCTCTTTGTTAAAACAAAGAAACATTTCAAGGCTTTCAAACAACAATCTGGGATGTTTTTTAAAACAGGAAGTCATTGTGGAGAGTGCAGCGTCTTGTTCTGTGTGTAATAGGGAACACAGTGTGAACTCGTGGCTGTTTTACAAGTTCCATGAAAATACCTGAAGTCAAAAACCCTGAGTCTATCCCCTCCTGAGTCCAGCAGGGGGTAGAGAAGCAGCGTGTGAGTGGGCTCTTATAAGATGAGAGAAATGTAATCTTATCTGTCACATCAACTCTATCCCAGAGTTTCTCCTTGAGCCTCTGTTGTTTTGACAGATTTCTTGATACAGCAGCCTTTATGGAGAGAAATGCTTCTAATAAAATGATCCTCAATCTAATTGACTATTATCAAAAGACAGCACATGAATAGCAGTAAAAATAAGTAACTCCCAGTAGCTGATTGAACTTCATTCACTTCCCATGGACAGCTATGTGAAAAGCACCTTTTGTGACGTCATTGATGCAGTATTTATAGTCGGATCCACCGCAGCTCCAGGACATGTCCTCCAGGATGAACGACTGGTTTGAGCGCAGCATGATGATCTCAATGGCACTCGACTTCAACAGAGCAATCTGGTCCTCTGCGGTCAGTTCTCTGCAAACCAAATAACAGGTGCAAATGAAGCAAAAAGGAAAGTTTGTTTTTAAAAGCTCAGCTACACTATTGTACAGTTCTAACTCGTGAAACTCATATGATTGAGTTTGTTTTGGTTGTTTAACACAAAAATCAACTTATCCCATAACTGACTGATACCGAGAAAAAAACTCCTACAGGCCCAAATACTTAGGCCTCATTCAATAAATGATGTTCCATCAAATAAAACTCCATCTGCTAATCACATACTCTGCACAAAAGCTAAGGTGTTAATTGGTAATGTTTTTGTAGTAAGCATGGAAGTAAATCTTATAGCTATATACAACTGTCTGTTGTAGCACTGTAGTAGCAGACAGATAATCTGTGAAAACAAATCAAGGTCTTCCTCCCAGTGATTCTACTGCCATCTGCAGAAATCACCACATGGTCAGAAACAACCACAGGGTGTTAGTGCTGTCAATTACTCTTGTGTACATGCTGCTCATAGCCTGCCCTTTGCTCTCTACTGGTTTACCACAACATATCCTGCCACAAATGTTAAGGCTAGTTAGCATAGTGGCGGATAAACTTTTTTCTTGGAACAGTAAGTAACAAGTGTCATTGGCAGCACTGAGACCCTCCACTAAGACCAATCTTTTACATATAACTGTCACAACATGGAGAAAGTTTTAACAAATATTTTTTTAAATCATTGTTTATAAAAACAATACTGTAGTTTTAAGTCTGCACGTTCTACAAAAAAACAGACATAGATAATGTAAATATCAGTAGCTATTTTGTAATGCTGTACATGCACATATGCAAAGCCGATAGTAGGGGTCTGAAGCCACAGTTGGGGAAATGTAATAAAAATATTTTATGTATAAATTTACAAATTGATCTAATTTTCAGAAGCTAAACATTTGAAATAATATTTGAAATGGCAAATCATGTAATATTAATAATACTGAATTTAGATATTTTAAAATAAATCAGGAAAAATGAAACATATTATTAACAAATAAATGACTAATACTTAAGCCTGTAGTTAAGTTGGGCCAAAAAGCAAGGAAAAAAGAAAGTCAAATTACGATGACATTTAGAGGGTTTTAACATTAAGAAGGAAGAAATTTCACTCAACCTTTCTGTGGAGAAAGTATCTAAATGTTCTCACAATGTTCCGATTCTAGGCACACTCATCACATTATTCCAGCCCACAATGAGATCCATTAAAGAGATAACAGCCCTGAAAGTTCTACTTAACCACTTACAAACAAGAACATGTGTGAGTGTGTTTCTGTGTCTACGTGGAGTAGATGAAGGTACAGCATGTACGCTGGCTGAGTCCTATGTTTACTGAACGTACGGCGGCTCGTTCTTCATTTGTGAAAGAGAAAAGGCGGATGCCTGAAAATAAATTCATTGTGGTTGAAGATTTGACAAACAGTGTATTTGTGATTGTTTTCTGAACAAATGCAGCTACTGTTTGAAGTCTTGGGACTTTATTTTATCTCCAAATTTAACACAGCTCCAGCTTTGAATATGTTCATAAATTATATGCAGGAAAAATTCATTCATCTGCAGAGACAGTCACTTACGCAGTTGAAACCAGGGTTTCCCCCAGTGTATTATAAGCCTGGTGGCCTGCAATGCTTCACTAGCCCCACTGCCAGGCTAAACCTGGCTTGTTAATGTTTTTAGGAAAATAATAATAAAAAAGTTTTAAAAAATTGCTTAATCTTTTGTCTTTTTTTAAAGCCAGATTGCAAGCACCTGTTGCTCTGAGCGTTTCACTGGCAGAGCAGATTTATTCCTAAAATATGTGTATATAGAAGATAGGTTTATAGTTTGTGCATTTAAAATAGGGAAAGTGGACCAATCACACCGCTGGTGCTTCTGTGCGTTGCTTCATGTGCTGTTGCTTGATCTCCGAAGTTTACCTAAGCGCGGGTCGCGCATGCCCCCTTTCACTCAAACTGGACACAGGCTGACCTCTGGATATTTCCATCAATGCCCTGTGACGAATTATGTTTCTTTCCAGAGTTTTTGAACAAGGTAGGAGTTTAAAACCCACCGCGTTAGCTCTGGCTGCGCAGCTCTACATGAACTGCAGGAATAACTTGTAGGTGCGCTTTTAGAGAGAGTGGTGAGAATGATTTATCTTTGTGAACAAAAAATTATATGGGGCCTTTACATCTCAACTCGCTGCCCAGCGTGTGGCTCTGTCTGCACTGACGAAGTTTATGTATGTGGTCCAGGATAGCCGGTTCATTAGTGGTTAACAAACCAGTGCTAACCACTAATCAGGCAGGTTCAGTCCGCATTGTAATCATGCATCACGCTGGTTCAATATTATTTTTCCAGTTACACAATGCATCAAACCATAACAAAAGCTTTGTCTTCTTACTCAACCAGAGTCAACGCAAGCGGCCGTGTGGAGAACTAAGAAACTTGTCCCATAAACTTGAGCAACCAAAACAGTTTCTGTGACCCTTATTAAAAACTCAACAGACACAAAATGGAAGAGCTACTAAAGCCACAAGTTTTCTAGGGGAAACCCTGTACACTACATAAAAAGAAACATTTTGTTGTTTCTCTACAATGATAATAATAAAAATCTGATGCAAACATTTTGGAGATCTAAAGTACAACTGTGAGCTTGATCAGAAGAGAATAGGATAATTGTGGCATTAATCTTTATTAACAGCACTTAATTTTAAATTATAATCTGGAGCCCCGCGGTGTTGACTTTAAAATGGAAATACTTAAGAATATCTGGTCAAAACAGAACCAACTGTTCAGACACAAAATAAACTTTAACATAGCATCTCTATATTTTTTGGTCTGCTGCCTTTCTTTGTGTGTTTCTTTTTTTATATGGTTCAGCTCAGCTTTTAACCACAGCCAGTTTTAGAACAGCTTGGAACAGCTTGTTTGTTTTCACCTCTCCCATTAATGTCCTGCATACGTGTGGGCAGCTGATCACTGTGTTCTTTGTGTAGGTGGGAACCTCATTCAGGTTGCTGTGTGAGCATGCCGCCGCTTTCATGTTGCAAATTCTACAAGAAGATAAATCAGAACCGGAACAAAACAGCAGGAAGTAACACTGTTACATGGTGATCCTTGTGGTTTGTGAGGAGTTTCTGCTGTCAAAAGTCATTCACTCACTTCAGGCAGTCTGCAAAATCCCAAGATGTTTTTCTGATATATTCATTATTTGAATCAGCTAACTGGTCAACTATTTGACTTTCAATGACAAATTATGAAAAACTTTTGTCTCCGTTTGTAGAAGTAATGCAAAAGCTACAAATCTTTGCCTATTTGAAAACTTTTTATCTTAATAATAAAAAGTGCAATAACTTCCTCCAGCTGAACAGAAACAAAACTGAAGTTATTATCTTTGGACCCAAAGAGGAACAAGCCAGAGTCAACAAACAGTTTGAGATATTACAGCTAGAAACTAGAGGTCAGCCCCAAAGCCTGGAGGTAGTGATGATGACCTGATCATTCAGGGTCACATAAAGACAATTACATGTCTTCAGGTTTTGAACATGTGTTCAGTACCTCAACACTAATGTCCCACAATGACCTAGACAAACTCATCCAGTCACATTACCGCCACAGAGTCTTCAACGGATCTGCCTAAAAAAAAACAAGAAAAAACAATCCTTCATTTTCATACCTGAATCCTGGTATCATCTTGGCAAATCCAATGACTTTCTGAATGCTGTAGGAGACCAGGTCGGCGAGGTGGGGCAGCATGGAGTGCTTGGCGTCTTCCTCGCAGAAGTCAGGACTGCACAGTCCATCCTGGTACATCATCAGCAAGTTGCAGAAGTGCATCTTGGTGTCCACAGATTCTGCTCCAGCAGATTGAGAATGATTTGACGCAAGAATATGATGAGAAAGGCAACAAAGTAGCAATAAGGATTTTGATAAGCTTTAATAACTGATAAAGCTCTAACGATATAACTTGAAAACAGAGGGAAAGTGATGCAACTGGAGACTGGAATCATAACTGTTTCTAAAGTTGTTCTAAACAGATTTTGTTATGTCCCTTAAATCCATTAAAATTAAAACCTGAACAAAAACTTTAAATGTTCTTATCAACAAGAGTAGCTTTGATCAAATCAACTTCTGCTTGCCGGCTGACAGCGATGCTGAATCTAAAAAGTCGAATTTGGACCTTGGTGATATTAATCCTGAATGGTGAATGAGAAGAAGCAGTGCAGAAGTGAATGCGTCATCCTGTATCTCACCAGGTGAGTGATGGAATGAATCAGAGGAGGCGTCAGACAGCGAGTGAAGGGAGGCGGCTCTGCTGGTGCTGCGTGTTATCGGGCCGTCACGCACTGGAGGCTGCAAACATGCAGAGAGAACAGTCATTAATATTCTCAGAGCAGCTTCTCCTGCCTCGCAATCTGAGTCATAAATTAAAAGGATGTGCGTACTAAACCTTACCCTATCAAACATTTGACTGCTCTGAAACTTGCTTTAACTCAGCCACTGTTTATCACGTTAACCATTCAACTGACAATGTGTGATGTGGGTGGATCTCCTTGGAGCTTTAGAGTTTCTGCGTTACAAAGAACTCCTCCCCCACGACTCTCTCAATCAGCTCCTTCAGACTAGCCAGCAGTAATTAGCAAACACCTGGTGGAACTACACATCAGCTGAGCTCATTATAGGAGCTTTGTCTCAATGAAACGCTGGTAGAAATGTTTTTAAAGGGTTAATAGAAGAACCATGTTGTGATGACTTCCTGAAGGCGGAGTTTCAGAAAGAGAAGAAGCTTTTAAAGTAATTTAGCTCCCAATTTTAAGGTGCTACATTACAAAGTAAATTTTCTTTTCAAGCCATATTTGATATTTATAGCATTTTCTTTAACAACTGAAGTTAACATTGTAACTTGTTTGTGGTATAAAATGGCACTAACACATAATACTGCCCCTTTAAGCAGTGAAAACATAAATCATGTTATTCTCCTAATTAAGAGACCTTTCACCTCTGAAAGAATGAGCATGTGGAAGCTTGGGCACATTAATGAATGAAACATTGAATATTTGAGACAGTGAGAGGAGCAGCTTTCACCTGAACTGCCTGGAGCTGAGACGCTGCTATGTACTTCTGTAATACAGATGCATGATGGCCTTTTCTTTTGCTGATCTAGGATTACTTGTGTAAAGAAATCTGACTAGCTGTTACCAGGGATTTATTTTACTTATCTCAAACAAGCACTTTAGATCCTTTCTAATTCCCTCCTTAGTTCCCTCACAATGTTGAGATCCGCTGCCAACATTTTTTTTTTCTTGTGTGGATTACTTGACTGCTTCATCATGAAAGCCTGCGGTTCACTCTTAGTTTAATGCAACACCTGCAACTCAATATTCGGAAACCTCACTCATCTGCTACTCGATTAGAGTGTGCCTGTGGCTGCCTGCAGAGCGCCTGGTGATACAATCATACTTGACACTAATAAATCAAAGAGTCTGTGAGACTTTCTAGCTATTCTGTACTCTCCCTCTCATTCGCTCTGGATATTACTGTTGTAGCAGGCCACCGGGAGACTGTTGTCTGATGTAGTTAGGAAAATATTGCACATCTCTTGGTAACATGTGCTATTGGTGACAGCAGCAGTCAAAATGTCTCAAATATAAATACAGTGGTGCACAATGCCTTGCAAAAGCAATCAGGACCTTTTGAACGTTTACACATTTTTTTACAGTCACAACCTTTAATTTATATGACAGACACAGGCCTGTCACAATAACAAATTTTGCTGAACAATAAATTGTCCCAGAAGTTATTGCGATAAATGATAATATTGTTGTTTTGAGACCATTGTCAAGTAATAGAATGATAATGGCATAGTAATAAAAAAAAAAAAAACATTCTTAAAGATCAATAAACTTTAAATTCTACTGAGCATTCAGCACTGGAACGGGAAAACATTTTAAATATCCAAGTTAAATAAACATAACAACAGAAACAAAAAATAAAATGAATTATGAAGCTTCTGTAAACAAAATTGAAATTATTTTTTTATTTAAGAACTTAATCATTTTTTAAACCACACTAGAAGTATACTAAAAGGTGCAGATAGATAATTCAATTACTATTTTAAATAAGAAAAACATATTCTTACATAAAGACAATAACATAGCATTGGTGAAGTGAACGCTTGAGCATTTGTAGGAGCTACAAAAACACTTACCATTAACATGTGAAAAGTTCATCCCTTTCTACTTGACTTAACATCAAAACATTATAAGGCTAATCTGATTGTTATTATTTTTTGATTAGTGGAAGAAAAATTGAATATAAAAAAAAAAGAATAAATTAATTTACAAGATTTGAACCGGGTGAAGCCAAAAACTGCGTCAGTTGAGGAGTTCTGTGTAGAATATATGCACAAAATGTTTATTTTTATTTATTTATTTTTTTTATTTTCAACAGAAATGCTTATATTTTATTTATCTTTCTGGCTTAATTATTGCTCTCATGATGTTGCTCTTCCAGAAACTGATTTTGTTTAAGAGTCACTTTATGATTATTTCAATAGCCTTTTCATCACAATGAATTGTTTCAGCTTTACATGAACTGATAAAATGTGAAAAAGTTAATTAATTGTTTCAGTTGAGTGCTGATTGGCTAGAAGAATATCAGAATTGAAGCGGACTAACCCTGAAGCGTGAAAACTCAGAATAGGAGGCATCGTAGGTCTTTTGGTGAGCTTCCACCAAGCTGGAGATCATCCGCACCTGCTCCTCATTCAGACGTGGCCTCTGTGCCTCCCGGGCTGCCTCCTCTTCTTTCCTCTTCATTATCATTTCCCTTTTCCTCTGCACTTCCTCATCTGTCAGTATGACTGCAACAGGTAGATAGATGGAGGGTCAGGTCAAAAGCAATGAAGTAACTCCACATTTTCAAAATACTACTGAAGGTTGATTATTTAGACTTTATTTAAAAAAATACCATTTGCTCTTAGAGTCAGTGTAAGCAGCAATATCACACATTTGTACTTTAAGAAGGTCAGTTAAAAACAAATTCAACTCCTTCAATGTAATAACTGTGTCTGTAGATTTGTCCCACAACAAAATTCAAGCATTAACAAAGTAAGTTTTCAACTTTTTCCAGCACCACATGTTGAAGATAAAAACAAAACGAATGAACTAAAAGGACAGTTTCAATACACTATCTTATGATATCATTTGTCACTGTAATTAATAACATCTTGTGTTAGTATAATACATTCTACAGGTAAAATAAAATCTAAAAATGTTATGTCTGGAAATATCCTTCTCACGCACATTGTATAGACCTTTCTGTTAACATAAAGCTACAAAATATTTCTTAAAAATGTTCTTGCCAAGTTTTCTGGCATTAAACAATTAGAGATAATTTGGGGAATTCTAACTCACCTAAAACAAAGAGAAATTTGGTCTTATTTAACTTCAAACAGTGATTAAAAAATGTGTATGTGTTTTTTAATTATCTTTAAACATCTGGTTTCAACAGTAAACAGAGCTTTTGAAGTTTATGCTCTGAATCAAGCGCTGGATTGCACTTTATTACAAAACTGTGCAGCTTATTGTTTACAGAAATCAAGCATATCCAAACAACTAAAGTATCCAATTAAAAATGTAATCATTTTCTAGGATTTTAAGCATCTGTACGAACCCTGTGATATCCTTCCGTGTTCAACATTACTTTTGTAGTTTTGCTTCTTTCCTGAAAAACTCTACTTTTTGGAGGATGGATGTTGGGATTCCCCAGTCATTCTTTTTTCTGCTCACATGCCATGAATAAATGGCAGCTTAATAGTTTGTGATTGAAATCTCAAACCTTCTGCTTCTGAACCAACACCCAAAGAACTGGAGTGCAGACGTTGTGGATGTAGGACGGCAGCCAGAAAACGAGGAGGAAGTTTAAATCATCGCTTGCCAAGGTTTACTCTTCAACTGGAATGTGAGATCTCTGAATACAAAAACTGCAGTACCATAATAAGTGGTTCACCACATTATTGCCTCTAAAGCAGGGGTGCTCAAGTCCAGTCCTCGAGAGCTACCATCCTGCAACTATGAGATCCATCCCTGCTCCAACACACCTGAATCAAATGAGTGGCTCATTGCCAGACCTGTTCAGAGCTGATCCTGGTCTGCTGGAGTAAGGCTGCATCTAAAAGTTGCAGGACAGTAGCTCTCAAGGACTGGACTTGAGCACCCCTGCTCTAAAGTATCTCTACCATTCTTATAGACTGTAAATCTAGACAGGCATTACTGAGGGGGGATGAAAACATTGAGTAATTGTACAAATTCTATGAAATAACCCAAGACATTATACAGTGAAGGAGATAATCTGCAGCTTTGATCAGGAACATTTGAATACAAGTTTCTGTTTCTATTACGGTATCCGGTTGTGCATCTCACGTTTTGCATCTCACTGATTCTGTTCATGAACAGGATCAGTTCATGATCCTGTTCTTTTGAGTATTTAGCATGATGCACCCTGCCCTGCAATGACACACCACTCAGGTCTAATCTGGATCTCCAGAACCAAACATGGAGAAGCAGCTTCAACTTCTATGCACCACAAATCTGAAACAAACTTGTAGAAAAATGCAAAACTGCTGAGACACTTGAGTTCCCTTCAATAAAAGGCTAAAAACTCATCTGAAGTTTTCAGCTGAAAACTTTTGCTAAAAAATTTAGCTAACTTTTTAGCTAAGCTAAAATCAAAAATTAGATTTGAATCAAAGGCAAAGAGTTGCCTTGATTCAGAGTAATTGGTAAATTGATCAACATATTTAAAGTATATTTGCTTAATGCAATGTTTATTTCTCGTTCCATATTTGGTGCCTGCATTTTTAACTGCCTTTTGGTGAAATGTGCTGACTCCTGAGAACTGGGTTAGTGATACAGTGGGAATAATCAGCTCACCTAAAATTCAAACAAGGTAAAGGAGTTAATTTCTACATTTAGACAGGGCAAGAAAAAAATTAATCAAAACGTGCAGCATCCTCCTTTAGATGTTTCACAGGTAAACCACCTCAAGCAGCCTGTGTGGGTTTTATGGGACTTCAGGTAAAGATAGATCCATCTTTCAGTTTTTAATTTTCCATATGTGTCAAAAAATATGTAACCAAAATAAAATAAATCTGTAAAGCCATTTGTGCATGGATTTGTTTACTGCTAGCTACAGAAGAATCTTTCTGTGAACCCCAGGGAGAGAAAAAATGAAAAAAGCAATAATTTGATTTTTTCCGATAAACTAAATAATTGCTGCTAATAAAACATGGACACATACTATTACATCTTTCTGTTTCAGTGCCCAACTACAAAACAACACTGAAGGCACAAAGCATAAATATTTTTACAGTTAATCCGCTTGAAATCCACATAGTGTGTTCCGACTGCTAAAGCGATGCACTCCGCCTGAATGCCAAGACTCATATTAATCTCTTGATTCTTTGCCACAGTAAACAATTAGCCACAAGGTTCTCAACTATGCAGCAAACACAGACTGATAGACAGCACGACTCCCAGACAGATTAAAGCAGCCAAGCTGTTATGACCCGTGCCCAGAGTCACAACATGCAGAAATATGCTGGCAAATCTGCCATTTTGGCAGCAAAAGATAAACGGAAAAATAGCCAACCACCATAATCTGTGGAGAATTTATTAATAATTAAGCAGTTTCAGACATAAAAAAGAGCTCAAGCTTTGTTTTATGGTAATTAGCTCAGTTAGAAGTCCTCTTAATCTCTTCTAGATGAAGGATGTAAGATAATGTTTCTTGTTTATTCATCAATAAAAGGTGGGGGTGTGGTAGACAAGGCTGTAAATGATTGGACTTCTGGGCCCACTGTCTGTCAAACATTTAAATACAGTGATAGACTTCCCTCATTCTACTGCTAACCTACTCCCTAATTCACAAACACTCAAAAACAACCTTTTAAGGCCCAAGAGAATCTATAAGCAGATCCATCCAAGTAACAGACACCTATCTAATTCAGCTTCTGACCTGTTCTACCTAGCAGATGTTTGAAAACGCTAAAGGATCAATTTACTCAATCGATTAGATTTTCAATACTTTTTATTGCGAATACTGGAGCAATCTTAGTCCGACAAAAGCAAAGAAATTATTCTGCTAAACAGGATTAACTAGGCTTTTATTTTTATTAAGCCCCTGTCATTAATTAGGCTTTGGGTGCACTCCAGTGTCCTTCTATTCCCCAGCCAGAACCAGACGGCCAAGCCTCACTCCTTGTGGTAAAGACATTCAAGCACGCAGGGAGTTATTGTGAATAGGCAGAGTTTGGTTCGGAGTTTGGCATGGATGATCAAAGCAGCTATTCTCAGACTGGAACCTGATTGGACAAGTTCTTCCCTCGCCAAGTCGGAGAATTGGAGGCATCATTAAAGACGGAGTTCACAAAAGAACGTTGAAAGGAACATCTTGACCACCCAACAGCACTTTGGCAAAATACTCAGCAGTTCACCAAAAGACAGTAAGTTGGCATTTTAACAGTAGCTGACTGGATGTAGTGATGTTGTGCCTGGCATGGCAATAAAATGCATCAAAACAAATTAAATGGAATAAAAGCACACCTGGATAGAATAATTAAATAAAGAAAAACAAAATGAGGTTTTGGTCAACACTTCCAAAGCCAGAAATGTTGATAAGAGATGCAAAGGCAAAGAATCCCTGGAAAGGAGAAGGAGATTTGCTGTGGGCTTACACATTAACCAGCCAGTCAACCAGTTTAACACAATGGAGGCTGCTAACCTTTGGATTTAATGTGATATATGTCAAGAACCATTTGGTGTGTGGCCAATTTGTCCTCGCTAATGCTCCAGGCTTGTGCTTTCAAGCTGTTAAATTCAGGTCAGTCAGACATCAAGAAACCTATACATCCTGCATATGACACAAAATAGCTTATCAAAAGATCACAATATTTTTTAATGTAATCATCAGCTCCTGTGTTTCTTGTTACTTCCCCAACTGATTGGCTTCTACTAGAAACACAAAATGGCTTTCATCGTTTAGAAAGCAAAATGACATTTTGTCAAGTCACGACCCTAGACATAGCAATATTTTACTCAAATACCAAGGAACAAAGCAGACAGGTCACTGCTATAGATGCATAGAAGTCTAAGGGTATAGTTGGGCTACATAGCAAAATCCAGAGCTTTGAACATCTCAGGGTACCATCAAAATCCATCTGGAATGGAAAGAGCAATAACTGGTGTCAAGCAAAAGAAAGAAATTAGGTAAAGGTCATATCTTCCAAAGCCAAAGAAGTTGGATGTAAAAAGATGCTAAAAGACCCAAAGATAGAGAACCCTTATAGAGCCACCGCACAGTCTCTTTCACCTAAATAGAAAAGGACAACATTATCCAGAGACTGATGAGGATGGTACAGACCTAGCAATTATGAAAGAGTAGCAAGAAAGCCGTTGTTAAAAGGAAGACTTTGGAAATCTCTTTTGTAGCCACAAACCATGAAGGGGACAAAACAAACATGTGGAAGATGAGAACAAAACTGCACTTTTGTGGTGGAAAACTAAAACTTCACATTGTCTGAAAACACCTCCAGAATAATGATGTGGGGATGATTTTCTTCAGCAGAAAAAGGGACGCTGTTGATGAGAAGATGGATTGAGGAAACCTTTTAACATCATGTGCTAGAATGACCCAATCAAAGTCCAGATCTGAACCTTCTTGTAAATCTGTAAACTGAAAAATTGCTCTTAGATGCTCTCCACCCAATCTGACTGAGCTACTTTAGCAAAGAAGAATAAGTACACCACATTTTCCAAAATCATGAATCATTTTTCTTCTATGTCAAAATTTGGGAGTACTTTG